TAATTTAGGGAAACTACCACATGTGTACAACAGCTGCATCTTTTTGTCAAGCATTGCTCAAGAAGATAAGTCAGTGCGGGCAGGCTGCCGACTTGGGTGGCTTTGAACTACTTCACGAAGGAGCAGGTGGGAGGGCACCTGCAACAAAGGTCGCACCTGAGACGGTTGAACCTACCTCACGGTGCAGCAAACTCGTGTCCGCTGCAACATGCCAGCTCACTTCCAAATGCTTTTGGCACATGATGAGACACTGCAACCAAGCTTTTTTACGCGCTGCAGCTAGGAGTCATCATTGATTCACCTACTCACATCATGGCAGCCTCTCGAAGCAAATCGGAAGTTGCTCTGGTGACGTTCAGCATGTTCAACTAAGCGAAGATCTTATTAGTGTGCAGCAATGGTGGGCGAAGAAGGCGCGTCTTTCGTGTTGAGCGACTTCTTGCAGCCGAAGGGGACCCAAAGGGGAATACCTCAAGGTTTCAATGCTGAGTGGTGGTGTCTAGCTCACTGTCAGGAATTATCTGCTCAGAAGCCTTGGCGGTGTCCGCCATTTGCTTATACAACTTCAGATTCATCCATTGCATTCGCCACGGCCTCAGTGCAGAAACGACAGATGCTGCAAAGTCTGATTGTCCACATGGCGCGCCTGCAGGCCTATACAACAATATTCTCTGCTGGCAATTCACCATCATGGCCTTGCACGTGGCCCCCGTGGTGTCATTGAGATGCTTAGGACCAGAGAAAGATGCAACGCACGCACTTCTGACCTGGGAGGAAGAACTTTTTCCGCACCTTGCTAATCTTGAACTTGCGTGCATCGGGCACACAGGCGCAAGCCCGTGTCGTTCTGTATTGAGCAGGACTGGGACCCGCTGCTGAGTTGAGATGCACAGTTTGCTGGGTTCTCCTCTCCTGGGGCTGCCGTGCCTTTCAGCCATCAGTCTTCAGCTTGGCGATGGTGCTACTGGAGATTGCATCATACCTCAGCCGCTTTGCAAGAAGGCATCTTTTTTGAGCTCAAGTTCTTCTTTCCATCTGCTGTATTCAATGCTACTTGTGACATCATTATCTTCTAGCTCAGGCGATCTGAACAAGGATTTGCTCGCAGCACTCTTCCTGCTTCAGCTGGTCATTGCGTTTGGCGCTTGGGCAGGCATGCTGCTTGCCAGCTGTGCTTTGGCCGTGTTAGTAGCTCTCGGTAATGCACTTGCAACACAAGTCATGGCAGATCGTCATGTACACACACACACACACCCTGGCGGCTCAGCGAACAAGAATTATGCGGGGAGCGCGTGGGTTCATGAAGTTCATAGGCAGCTCGTAGCTCCCCTTAAAGCGGTTCGATGATCCCCACGGGGTTGTGGAAGTCTACAGGGTTTGGCTACTTGTGCCCGTAGCGACCATAATTGAGACTCGAGACCAGCAAACATGCTTTTTCCGACACGCTGTGCCCATTCCTTGTACGCACATTGTGCTATAAATTGAGGAGGCAGAGTCAATATACTTCTGTGGGGCGTCTGCTCTACCGAGGCTTTAGCAGCTTCTCCTTTGTACCATTCGACCGGCATTTGCACAAGGTTGGGAAGGCTAAAGGCCCATGTTTAGACGTGTCCTGGCAGTCTGCAAGCGTAAGGGGCTGCGGCACATGTGCATTTCTGCTGCAGCCCGGCGCTGCTTTCTGCATGAGATGCTTGGCTGAAGCAAGAGCTCTTCCTCAAAGCACGTTTTGAAGTCCAGCGAACTTGTTCGGCGTTGCGCCTTTACGCCAGCCGTGTGATGCATGAGGCAAATTTTGACTTTTCAAAATATCCCAGGTTCATCAGCCATTTTGTGGTCCAGATGCTGTTTGCAGATATTCTTCGACGTCGACTTGGATATCTCCCAGACCTGTGGACTGCGATATGCGGGGCAGTGCCCATACAGGCGCTGAAGCACGAGGGGGCGCGGTAATGCTCGTCCCTGTTCACTGCTCAGACTTGGTCAGGCTGTGTATGCCGCGCTTGTATTTATCACGGCCGTCCTCATCCCGCCTCACGGGCTACCCTACAACCTTGGCCAGGTGAAGCCTGCAGCGTACCTTGCAATGTTACTACATGGCACATAGACATAGAGCGGACGTGAGAAGCCAAGAGATGCGAAGAGTAGGTAAGCGGTGGACATGAGTGCCACATGTCAACCTGGCCTCACCCTGCAGATTCCGAAGCTTCTGCGAGTTCCCGTCGCTTGACAGCAGGCAGTACAGGGTTATGGCCTTTGTGGTTTATCCATCTCAGACCCTGACCACAGCTACATAGCTGTATGATGTAAGATTTCTGCAAGATTTCTCTGGGCGGGGGTTTGGTTGAAGCCAAAGTCTATGAGTTTGTCGCTCAAGTCTGGCCAGAGAGAGGCCCGCTCTATGGAGGTGTTACGGGTGCTTGCAGAAGGCAGCGGTGGTGAAAACTGCCAAGACCACGGACTCTAACAACACTTCTGGAAGTCAGGAGAAGAGACGCAGTGTGCATACTTGAGACATCTGATACTTTCCCTTTTCGCAAAGGGACTGACGTACACCTCATTTCAGGTATCCCACTGGCTACCCCGTCCACTTGTAGGCGATGGCGCTGTGACGCGTACCCTGGCCAGAGAAAGCTGGAAGCAAGTACTTTGATGTCACTTGCATCACCTGTCTGGTGTCGAACAACCCTGCCAAGTGATCATTCATCAGTTTCTTTGTCGAAAAGCCACGAATGCTCCTTCCAACCTCTGCATGCCCAGATGCAACGACACATTGATGTGCAAGTGCGGGCAAATCTGAGGTGTGAACACGAAGTTCCTGCCATGGTGGGCGCGTGCAGCATTTGACCAGGACTGGAGAATGAGCCGGCAAAATGCCTGCTGCATGACAATTCCCTGAAAACAGGACAGCACATCGAAAGTTTCTGGGAAGCAGAGATGACCTCTTCTGAGATGGCTTGGCGGAAACATTTGAGGGTGTCTGCGTCCTCACAAGATGGGAACCTGCAAGAAGGTCGACCCAATAGTGGGAGGCTGCCATGGCATGCTAGGATATGCTAGGCCAGAGTTGAGACAAGGTGTCAGACGCGCAACGGACATGGTCTCCAAGCAGGGGACCAGTTGCCAAGCTCTTCGCAGCCTGGCACAGACCACGGAGGTCGTTGTCAAGAAGACAAGAGCCCAGAACATGCCGCGGACACGCCAAGAAAAATATTATCACGTATTGCGTAAGACATGTGTAAGGCCCTGGCATGCAGAGAATACTGCAAGGCCTGGGGCTCATCCTGCCAGGTGATGTCTTCACGGGATGCTTGCGCAAAGCAGACGAGCTTGGGCACCTTTCTTTGTGCTACTGCCACGTTTGGCACCACAGCCTATGTATGTGACCAAGTCGGGATTGGTAAGCTTCCTGCTCGAAAGCAACCAGCAACGACAAAATCTTGACAGGCGATGCCCTCCGCTCAGAGCTGGATGCGGACGTCGTTCTGTTTGACGGTGGCAACATTCGAGGCGTTACTGCACAGCCAAGAAGTACCCTAGATTGCCGGCCCAATGAAGGCAACCGAGACTACATCCCTCAGAGAGGCCACCACAGAGGACCAAAGCACCTTGGACTTATCCTCCTGCCTTCTCTGAGGGACCGAGGGAAGTTTGCCGTTTCCGCTTCGCCCAGGTGGGCCTTCACAGCTGGGTGCTCAGTATGGACACCACCATCACTGCTTGCAGGGGCTTGTGAAAGGTGAATGATTTGCGTCGAGAGCTGCCGTGGCCCTCAGAGATTGCTGTGGTCTCCATGCGCGGCGACGACATCAGTAAGGCGCCTGATTCTGGGGGAACTGCATGGTGTTTCACAGATGCTCTACGGCCTACAGAACCTTATGAAGCACCAGGCAGTCATGCTTTCCAGACGCCATGCTGCTCGGCCCATGGCTAGCTTCATTGGTTGTGAGCAGAGTATTTCGCTCTGCATCTGCTGCGAGCGTCCTCGAGCAACGCTTATTCTGAGAAGCTCCAGTCTGAGGCCACTAGCCAGGCGAGGCAATATGAGCCTTGGCTGTCCAAAATTTCTCAACCCGTGGAAGGGCTGTGTTAATTGTGCAAAAAAGGATGAGCTCTGCCAAGGGCGACTACTTCCGAATTGGAACACATGCAAGGATGAGGGCCGGCCACGGACGTTCAGTGAGCAAACCCGCAGCTCGTTCGCAAGCAGTGTAGGACATTGACAGCCACTGGCATGCACTGTGGACTCTACTCTGGACTACTAATCCACTGAAGGTGGGCGGTGATGCTTCTGGACCCGAGGCCCTTGCAGCTTGCTTTTCGCACATGCCTTTCTGCCGAGCCTGTAAGGTGCCCATTCCGGGCGGCTTTCTGCAAACCAACAGCGCAACAAGGGCCGGGAACCGAAGATGTCTTGTCGTTGTACTTAGTACAGCTACATTTAAGCTGAGCTGCAGACAGATTTCAGGGCTTGATGAGGCTCCCCAGACGTGTGCAGGTTTGATAGGGACACTGGATTTGGTTTACAAGTCTTGCTAGGCATATGTTTATTTTGGGGTATCAGGCATGGTAGGTATGTGGTATGCAAGTGGCACTAGGACGCACCCCCAGACACATCTGATAGGCAAGCGACATTTGGATCAACCCCGAATCTTGGTATCTTAGCTATCCAGTCTTTCCCAGTATCTTAGCCTGCTTGCCCATGGTTTAAAAGTGTTCAAGGAGCATAGCAGTGTGCTGGAGGTTACGGACAACGGAGCTGTCACCCACATTGCCGGGGAGCCCATCGATGCGAACAAGAGGCTGGGCACAGAGAAAGCTTCAAGCCTCATGAGTGGATTTCCGTTGCCTCCAATGTCACTGACTGAAAAATGTGCAGTAGGTACAAAGTTGCCTGGGCCCTAGATTTTGCGCTAGCACAGGATGTTCTGTGTAGATGAAGGCGCCGTATCAGCTTAGCACTGACAAGGCCTTGCTCCATGCGGCTCTTCGTGGCATGAATAAGAACTCAGTGTTTGACACCTGGGCGAACACTGCAGGCAACAGCTAGCAGGTTGTCGACACTTCTTGTCACTCCCTACTTCTACTCTCTGGCCCTGGATGCTGGCAGGCAATGAAATTCCAACTCTTCAAAGCTGCCAACCTGCTGCGGCCACATCCCTAGAAACGATGAACAAGGACGTGTACTTGCAGCCTGTAAATCCTGAAATCTGAGGAGCACCTCACACGGCACTTTACCCGGCTTTTATGGCTGAACCTTGGCAGCAAATGATCCGAGTGCAAGAGCACCATGCGAAGGGGAAGCTGCTCGGGTCTCCAAACCTTTGCAGGAGAATGCCAAGCTTTCAGGAGCTGGACGTGGATCAGGCAACGAAAGAAACCCTGTCATGTCAGGATGAGCAGCAAATAGCTGGAACCCAGAAGCCTGGCCAATGAAGTTGAATAAGCAATCGGGATGTTTCGTTCCAGTCCTGAATGCGAGATGCGGTTGGGGACCAAATCGGTTCAGCATGCAAGGATCTGGCTGATAGTGGTTTAGGCGGCTGCTTTGAATGTATGGCTACGGGTTGAACTGATATCACTTGCATGAAAGTGGAACTGTGTAAGGAATCTGGAATCAGACTTTTGCATCCCGCGTCATTGACCTAGAAACCTAGCATGCTGGCTTGTGCTTGCGCCAGAGCAAGACGATCTCCCGCGATGAGCTGTTGAGCGGGATCTCCGAGGTCTTGAGCTCAGTGGAGAGAGCTAGGTGCCTTGCAGCAGCTCTATGCATCTGCATGTCAGATTTTTTTTTATCTTAGACCGCTTATTTGATCAATCGGATTGAACAAAGGGGTCTCATTGGATCCAACCTATCACGCAGAATCTGGGATTCTGAGCGATGCTGCTAGAGCCAGTTCTGCAATTCTGCTGACGCTGGCTTTGACGGAAGGAATGCGCAGACTCCACTCACTATCAAGCTTTTTTGATTAGCAGCTGCAGGGCTTTCCGCGGGCCAGAGCCCCCAACATCAGACGGTCGCTGCTCAGAAGGCTCCGGAGAATGTGAGTAAGGATGCTTTTATGCTTTCGAAGCGGTGGCCGAGAATTCCTGGAGTGTTTGCAGGCTGCTTGCGACAATTGAGCTCGACAGCTGCTGGCTCAGATGACTGAAGCGTCAAGACGGATACCTTGGTGACATGTCGCGGATGCGTAAAGCTTTGCAGACCGAGGCACCGGGCAGATCACCGAGGATGAGTACCAGCAACTTGGCCAGCAGCATGCTACTTCCTATCTTCCAAAAGTTCCTGGTCTGTCCTTGGACCAGATAGTTACATAATGACATCGCAAATACAAAGGAAGCTGCACGAGAAGCTGCAGAACTCCAAGGGCGTCCAGGTCGCAGAGGTTGGGTCAAGCCGTACGCAGAGCATGCGAACAAGGATTGCCTAGATGCCAGGGCGACTACCTGCGGGACTGGGCATCACCAAGAGAGAGCAACGACAGTTTGCCGAGTCCTGTGAAGCAGTCTTTTTAGGTACGACACACCAGAGGCCCCAGAAAGACTAGAACCGTTATGCAACTTTTACAGCTTTACAACGCCTGTGCCTTCAGGGACTGTTTGGCTTGCTATGCCTGCTTCGCTGAGCTTCAACGTTAGGCTCACGAGCTAGAGCCAGGAGATGAAAGCTCTGGGCAGTATCTTTTTCCGGCACTCGCACCAGGTCATTAGCACGAAGCCTCCGGATATTGACGGCTTGCATGCAGTGAATATGCATGCGTGCCCAGCATTTAATTTTAACAACAGGAGAGGCGATGCACGTGGCGCTCATCAGAGCCCTGTTGTGATGTTGCCCCCTGGAAGTTTAAAAGTGGAGCGCGGCATACTGGGCGCGCCCATTAGGACTTGGACAGAAATCTCACGCCCAGTCATTCCCCATGTTCCATGACTTTGCGCGCGATGTGGTCAAGGCCACCCTCTTCGGGTTCCATGCGTTGCTGTCGCCTCAGATGGCATTCAAGGGTTCACGGCGAACGTCCAACGGCCCAGGACTTTGAATCGGATCTCTGCTTCAGAGGACCAATCCCTGTGGCTTGCTAAAGTGTTGTCAAAGTGTTTTGTAATCATGTGTTGTCGTCCACCAGCAAAAGCCAGGATTCCCTGCTATCGATGCCGCACGTGATGCTCAGCAGCGCCCTGCGGACGGATGGCCGCACGAAGCTTGGCAGCATGTGCGGACTGCGTTGCTGTACCAGCTGGGGAATGCCTTTGGCTTGGGCCAGAGGCCAACGAGACAATCTTTAATCTCATAGTCATTTGTGGCGTTGTCAATGTCAGCAGCAATGCTTTGGTCTGAGGATTCGAGCTTGGCGGGAGCAGTGCCGTGTTTGGCAGAGCAAGGCCTTTGTGTGAGACATCATGAAGAGTTCGATCAACATATCGCTAGTAAAGCTACTTTGCTTACACATAGGGTAGGTCAGGGCTGGAATCCAGATCCCATTCCTATCATTACAGCAGGTGGCAGGTTGCTGAAGGAAGACGCAGGGTATTGGTCAAGTTTCAGGGCACTGTCTCACTGGTCTGACTTGTCAATGTTAGTTTCTTGCAGGTTGTTGAGGCAGATGCTCCGAACGCGTGGAAGGCCTCCGGATGCACTGTCAGCAACAATTGTCCCTCACATCCTGCGCGGAGAGAGCAGAGCTGCTTTGGAGTGTAATCGGCTCGTCTACATTGACACTACATGCCAGCCTGTGTCTTTGGTCCATGAGTCCTAGAAAGCTGAGCAGGTAAGCCTCAAGATATTGCGGAAGGACGCATGGCTGAGCGCATGTGTGATCGCACATGAGGAGCAGCAGACAGCAGACATCCGATGCTGCCCTGTTTTGCAAAGGAGGAAACGCCTTCCAGTGCTTGGAA